TTTGATATTGTAAGGAGATATTCTTTCTTGGTCACTTATGGGAGTTAAAGGGTTAAAATGGGGGATTTCAACATATTGTAATGATTAAAATATTCTTATGCTTTCAAATGTACCAGTAACAAAAAAATGTGATGAGAATCTGATGATATGAAACACTTATGTCTTTAATGCTTAAATTTTTGTGGGAAATGCTTTCCTTTGAAAGTGGGGATACAGAAGTTTTTAAAGCTGATAGAGGTAAGCTGTTTGCAAGTAATAAAAGACAAATTGACAATCACACCTAAATGCTTGACATGCATCACTCATACATGTCAGTTGTGTGTACCAACCATTGTAGAGTGTCTTTAAAAAGGTTTTTTTTTTTTTTGTTACACAAGGCAACCTTCAGGGTGGAAGAGTAGAAGACCACAGAATGATGTTTACTTGGCATTTGTACTTAATGCAATCATATATTCAAGCAGTACTCTACATATATATAACTGATTACATGATGTCTTTAACCCTTTACACCCCAATATCAGAGTGCATATTCTCCAAACTGTTCTCTATATATTTCCTTATGCACTGGCAAGGAGAATTTGTTTAACAATCAAGAGATTCTTCAGTTGATTATCATTTCCTTTATTCTCATGACCTTAATGTGTGACTCAGGGGTGATATCGAATGGAGAAATTAGATGCTAGTCACTCTCAGGGATTAAAGTGTTATTAACTGTACACATTTTCATGTATATGCTCCTTGTCTTTGTTGGCAACAATAGCTAAGATTGTTAGGAAAGCAAACAAACAAGTGAACAGAAGACAGTGAAATGAGGGAAACTGTAAACTTGACCATGTGATAGAAAAACATCACAGAATATCTGATTGATATTGTATTGATACTGTTGGGAGAAATTCTGCCTTGGTCACTCATGGGAGTCAAAGGGTTAATCAGTTGTAGGGTTTGCCTGCAATGTGTCAAATTGCCAGTGTACACTTCATTCTTCTCAGATGTCCACTGGTAAAAAATAGGTACTTAAAAAAGCCGTTCATAAGAAAAAGCACACATCATTAAAAAAAATCACACTGATTGATTGATTTATGATATTTAGAATGACACAGACAGGAAAAACACATTGAGCTTTTTCCTATTCACCAGTAAGTTAATTAGATTTTGGATTCTACATTCAGACTGGGTGAGATTAAGTTTATTCATATCATGCTTCATTATGGTTTGTTTACCTGGAAAGGTAATTGTTATGGCTTCACAGATGTTTTTGTTGCAATCACAATTAACATTCATAACAAAATTTCATTTAATGTGGAATGTTTCAAGAACACTTTTTATGTCTAATTCAATACCATTTACTATTCCTGGATCACAGTTAAAGGTAGCAGGTTATTAAAAATAAATTATAACTTTTGATTCAGGTAATTATTTGAATATGTGAGTAACATTTGATGATTTCATAACCTAAAAATGACTGAACTCCACTGTAAGAATTAGGTAACTAATTTGGAAACTTGAGCACTTGGTAAATACACCATGCCTTGCAATTCTGATGATTACAGTTTGCTGAGGAAATTGAAATGTTAGTCCCATGCAGGAACCTTCCACTTGACCTGTCCAGTCATGTGCTATGAGATAACTTTAGAAAATGCATTTCTGATGGCAGAACTATTGTAAATACAGTACCACCTAAAGACAAAAATAAATGATTTCCTGTAAGCATGAACATTTGGGAGAAGGTATGGTGGTAAATGACCCTTCTTTTGCTAGGATGCATAGGGTCTGATGATTGTCATGTATATCTTTTAGCTTTCAAACTTTCAACTTTGTATCAATTGTAGCTGTTTACTATGTCTATTCTCTGTACCATAAGCCCTCAAAAGTTGAAGCAGGCAAGTCAATAACCTGACTTCCTTTGTTTGGAATTGTGTGATTATATAATTTTTCTGTGTAAGTTACCATACTGTAACATGTAATATTATTATTCAGATTGCATTAAATACACTTCTAGTAGTGTACCTTAAGCTTTCATTAATGCATGGTGTTTCTTACCGATGATCCTACCCAAACTGAACATTGAAATAAGGAATTGGTCACAAGATATGTGAGTATAAAAGGGTGGGAATCTGGAAAAACAAGCATCTTCCTTTAATTAGGACTGAAATTAATGGGGCCCTCTTATTTTAATTCATGTGTTTCGTTTAACCTGCCTCCTCCCCTGTAATGTTCAGGGCACATAGATGAAGAGAATATTTTTTTGTATATTGATGCATAAAAGTTAAACTACCAGTAATTGGCATCCACATAATCACAAAGCAAGAATGTAAGGCATTAGCTTAATTGGTTAAAAAAAATTAATGTAAGAGAGTTTTGCAGACCGTGTCTGACTTTTTATCCTGGCTCTGGATATTTAATTTTTTATTTAAGTAACAAAGACACTATCAGTCTCATTCACTCTCACTTTCCACTGAGCTTGTGGAAAGATGATAACATCATTATTTCTTTAAATGAAGAAAGGAAAGCCTGCCCTCTTACTACAGATAGTTCTGTTGGGCATCATCAGTTCAAGATGATTGTTCCAGGTAGGCTAACCTTGAAAGTTAGTTGTGAAAATTTCTTGAACCTGTCATTGTACATCTTGCCATTGTACATCTAAAATCCTCAGTTCCTTTGCCTTGATAGCCCAACCTCGTCAAAACATTGCCAACAGGAGTGATTAGCAAATTAATGATACAGACAAGAGGGCCTATTCCCACATACATCCTCCTCCTCTATGGTCATGGCATTTCAAACATGGTGTATGTGCCACAAGTTTTCCATTTCCCTGGCTAATTAAATTGTAATAGTGTTTATATGTTGAGGAAATGGTTGGGTTGGAATGTAATACAAAGACTTGCCAGTAGATAGGTTTATTACAGTTTTTATTCAGTGTAATGTAGGGCTGGAAAATAAACTAATAAGAGCTCCGCTTTTAGGCTAAATCTATATATTAATCGGTACATTCATATTTATCAGGTGGCCTCAAGAAGCCATTGATCAAACTGTTGTTGAATTTCCTGTGGATTATGAAACTAAACAATAAAAACTGAATTTCAAACGATGGGTCATTTAAAATATGACCTTAAAAACCCGTTGCACTTATGGATTATTTCACATAATTGAAAAAATTTACTCTTTTCCTGCCAGACTCCCAGGCGATAGCGATCATTGTCTTTCTGATGAATAATATCGTCGACTCGTTGGATTATCAGTCTAACGCCGTATCACGACTGTTTTTTATGACCCTAAATTAGCATTCCATGTTATTGTTTTAAATATCGTGTTTACATTTTGTGACTTTGTTGTTCCCTTGGGGTTCGACGTTTTTTTTTCCTTTTTTCTGCGAAATGTAAACACTCAAGACTCTCCCCTAAACACTGATTTCATTTTACTTTTTATAGTCCTTCGATAGGCCTCAATAAATTCTTTATCCAGAAAAAACACTTGTTTTCCTTTCCAAACGAACTCATACTAACTCAACAACCCACGGAAAGCGAATTGTGTGACTATATCTTGTTAGTCAAGTGACATCAGGTTTCGTGGGCACAATAACAATTTAAACATAGCTCGTCTGCCCTCGCTGCAGTCTCTTGATGGGCTCTGGAAGCAAGCCTTTCTTGAACAAAAATTCTTCCTTGAAATATTATGAAGCCACTATTTTCATAAAATCTTATTTCCTGGGAAGCTATTTAAGGAATCTACTCTTTATGTTTCTTTGAATTGTTTTGCAGTCATAATGCAAAGAGCTATCGTGCACTTCGCGGAAAGAGATGACGCTCTAGGATTCTTGGAGGTACCTTTACTTCAGTTAATTTTACGTACAGTTTATAGATCCGAGAAAGTGTCATCAAAACACTCTATTTTCTTCATAATAAGTTGCATGCCGATGTAAATAAACTGGAGTGAAGTAGAAAGTGAGACAGGATTTTCCAGACATGCGATTTACTCGTTTCTTAGAAATCGCTAGCCGATGGGAGAGGATAGATATTATTCTAATTGGCAATCTCTTGAGTGTCTTAAAAAAAAACTGAATACACATATCCACAAGAGAGTGAAATTTTAAAATGCTGGTGGATCAACGAAAGTCACCAAGCCAAGTTGGTGATCGAAATACGCAACTGAGCGCGCACATGCAATCTCGACGTTCTAGAACGAGAAAAATGATACAAATACTGCTCATTTCCAGGGAGGCTATCAAAGGAAAACTGCTTTAAATGTTTCTCTGAATTACTTGTGCAGTCATCATGCGACGAGCTATCGCATGTTTCGTGGAAAGACATGACGAATTAGGATTCTTGGAATAAAACACTCTATGCCTTCCAAAGGTACCTTTATTTCAGTTAATTTGACCAACAATTTAAAGATCCGAGACAATGCCATATAAACAGTTTTCTTCGTAGATAATACATTTCAGACTGAATTAAAATAAGGGGGAGTGAAGTTAAAACGCCTGAATGATTGTTCAGACATTCTATTTTAATTAAGACTCGTTTCCTAGAAATAGCTGATCGAAAATTACTCAAATTAGCGATCTCGCGAGTGCTTTTAACAAAAGTTCTGAAGGAATATTTTAACAAGAAAGTGAAATTTTAAAATGCCAGTGGATCAACTAAAGTCCCTCTGCCAACTCTGTGAACGAATAAGGCAACCGAGCGAGTTAGGGAAACACACAACCTCATCGCTCCAGGGCGACGAACAATGTACATAAATCTGCTAAAGAAGAGTTAAGGCGTGATAGAAAAATTAGAAGCGAAGCCATCGCAAATAACTGAACACCGGAAATACTGAAAAGAAGCCAACAGCATCAGTGAAACACATATCACACAGATAAAATTGTCTGTAAGGTCCGGTCTATTTGCTTGCGCACTGGTAGCCTCTGTTTAAATTATATGCCCATCTGTAAATGCTTTGCACCCAAACCACAAAACATCATTAATAATCTGAAAATCGACTGAAAAGGTGAATTAACTTACCAAAGGAAAATGAAATTCTGAAGAAAGTGATCCTCATTTTGTATGTTGTCGAATCGATCTCCGCTCAGACTGCGATCTGTGAAGAGGGCCACTCTGTTTACGCGTCTGATTGTGTCAATTTTTTTTCTTTAGTCGTTAGTAATCGGATCCTTGTGTCACGTGCAAAGACTAGAGCGTGACATTAGTGCGATTTAGAGGCTGGAAGCTAGACATCTTCAAATGCTGAAGAAAGTCATCTTTATTTTGTATGTTGTGGAATCGATCTCCACACAGACTGCGATCTATTAAGAGTGCCACTCTGTTTGCATGTCTGGTTGAGTCGAGTTTTTTAGTTGTTAATAATCGGATCCTTGAGTTACGTGCAAAGAACAGAGCGTGACATTGTGCGGTTTAGAAGCTGTTGGCCAGCCAAATCCGGTAGCGTTTAGACTCCCTTGTCAAAATCCGTTAGCAGATATGGACCCCTCTTCGCAGATTTGGACGCCCCTGCCAAACTTTCCTGTAAAGCATCGTTTGAATCATATTTGGTTACTAGTTCTATTTGAAAGCTTTTTGTCCTTAGTCAACTATCGGTTTATGACATTCCTCGACAATTGTAAAATTTCCTTGACCAATTTTACAATTATCCAAACTGGCTCTAGTGATGACCTCCAGTCACCCCCGCAACCATTCTGTCCACCCAATTATTTATTATTTAAATATTTAATATATTAGTTTATTTTCTAACCCTTCATTGTTTCATTTTAGAAAAAAAAGCACATTTTAGAAAAAAAAGCTGTCAGGAACCTAGGGACGACGTTCTGAAAACGTTTTAAGTTGAAATTGTATTCTATTGAGCGTGACTGATACTTTGGTTTGGGAAAATGAGCCTAAATTAAAGAATTTACCAACAGCTTAATATTCGTTGCATGTGATGTTTTCTTGTGAGTGTTCTTCGGAACGATTATATGAACAGACAAATATTTCCCCTCTTCTGTAACAACCATAAAGAGCCCTCTCATCTTGAATTAAATTTTAAACGAGGACGTATCGTAATGAACGTCAGATTTGAAAATTGGGGGATAAAATTTGGGTGATGTTCTCGGATAATCCCCAGTTTTAGTTTGGGAATATTCGCTCACGTGATGTGTTTAGACCGATCGCGCACTCATGTTTATTTTTTTCTCAGAGGGCAATGGTAACGACTTCTTAGTGCGGTCCGTATTTTCCTATCTCTGCTCCATGAGCAGAGAAAGACTTAGCAGAAAAAGAAGGAATAAGGTAATGAATATTTTATGCGACGTTTTGGAGTGTAGTATAGCTGAGTATTTTTAGTCGTTGTTTGTATTCTTACTCACCCTGCGGGCTCGTCAAAATACGGCACTACTCGCGTAAATACCCAGCGTTGCATGACATGTTTTTTTCTTTAATGCAATAATTAATGGGAGAATTAAAGGGATCAAATAGTGTTAGTTTTTCAACAGAAAAAAAACTGCACTGTCACTACTCCATTTATTTTTCTGACCATAAAAGATGCAATATGAGTTTTCTCAGTGTAAAATAAAAGGTTTGTGACTTTACCGAACCTTAACGTTTTAACCTTTGCGTGTCTCTTGAGAACTTACACTCCTTCGCGCTATTGTCGTTCAAGCTTAACAAGAAACCTTCTCCGGTATATGTGTCTAAAGTAGAATTCATCCTCTTTTGGTCAAGTGTCAAGGAAACCGTTTGGGAGGTATGCATGTGTATAACTGCATACAGTATGCACTACTATGAGCAAAATATGATGAAGTGAAAGATTCGTTCGCAATTAAATTCCGGAAGACTTGTTGGAATAGCTGCAAGTTGAAATAGCAAACAATATTTTGACCGAAGTAAAGATGAAGAGAATGCACCGTTCGGTAAATACCAACCTCTTTTACGTCACGGAAGTGAATAACTGATCTAGTTTTTACCACACTTGAAAAATAAAAAATTTCCAAAAAAAAAAAAAAATTAAAAAAAAAAAATTATAATAATGAAATAAGAAATTTCCACAAAATTTCCGATGAAAGGCCTTAACAACCTTTAAGATCTCATCAGTAATTCTCCTTATCGTCTGCCATTTGATTCTTATGATGTTAGTTTGGAGAATTTGGTATTGGATCAACTAAAAATTCCCTAATCGCTATCTTTATTTATTCTAATCACTTGTCTGCTTGTCACTGCGTTGACACTGTAAGGAGAAATTCTCTCTTGGTCATTTGTGGGACTTAAAGGGTTTATAGCTGCGTGGAATTTGTCAGCGAAAACAACAAAATTTTGGATCTAGCTTACATGCTTCATAAACGGAAAAAGCTTTGGTATAAACCTTAAGTAGACGATAGGTTTATAAGGGCTATACGCTTGAAGCGTTTTCTAAGTTATCACATGCGGGGCAAAATTACTGAATGCTGATTGGCTGAGACAGAAGGCAATTTTTACTTTTGTCGAAAACGTAAAAGAGCTGTACCACGCTACCTTATCAACTCACGATTTATTCCCTTGATTCAACAATTTTGCTACTTCGCTTCGATTGACTCCTACTCACAACTCTCGGCTTATTCGAAGGAAACACACCCAACGTCCCGTTGTAAGCACGTGGAACAATGCCATATATGGGACGATAAAACACGTGCTACATGCAGGAGGACGGAGGAAGGAGAACGGAGAAAGGAGAACAGAAAATAGAGAATGGAGAACTGGAAACAGGAACCGCAAACGAGAAAAGGAGAAGAGAAACAGCACACGGGAAACGGGGAGAAAATAACGGGAGTCAGACGGAGAGTCCATTGTTAATCAGCCTAACAATTCAAAATTGTGGATGACATAACGGAAAAAGGATATGAACTCCAGTTTCGAGCAAACGCTCTTCGAACTCGGTCGTATCATCTATCAGTATAGACCTCCTTCCATTGATTACGCTGAGTGTTTCAGTTTGCTTTTACAGCTCACACTGCGAGCCTCTAGTTCGATAATTTAAAAAAAAATGATTCAATAATTAACTGTACGCATTTAACCATTATTTCAGAAAACGTTTTACCGCTTAACTAGCTCTGTTGTCCGTCTCTGGACAATAGTTGTGTTACTTCTAAGGCGAATCGTTGTTGAGTTGCTAAGCTGTAAATTTCAGCTTTCCCATTCAGCGGGGGTAGCTTTCACGTTTGACGGTTAAATATAACGCCTTACTATGGGTATCATAGCTGTTGGATTCGTGTTTTTTGGTGCGATCACTTGCGCTGGATAAATATTATGGAAAATTCTGGAGAAGAGAGGGAAGAACAGCCATAGTCACAAGTCAGTGGATAAAGGAAAGGAAAACAAAATGGACCTGTAAAGCACAAGAAAAACTCTAGATCGGAGCTGTCCTCTGTCACAGAAAACACGAAACAGTCGTACGAAAAAAGTTCACTTGTACACAGAAATATAATTCTCACTAAAAGATCTTTAATCAAATTAAAGAAGCCTTTAACAAAAGTTGCCAAATTTAACTCAAGTAATCCCAAAACACACCCTCTGATATTTGTTTGGCAAGAAGCCCGTGGATAAATGATGATTTATAATTTGAAAAAAATGAAAGATAACGAAACATGAAAGCAAACATTTTACTGAAACCAGGAGTTCGTTACTTCTAAAACTTAACTTTTACAACTGTTGCTAACTCAGATTCTAAAATGAACTGCACTTCTGTGATCATGTTAAAAATTCTACTTCACTGTTGTTGCTGTTGTTGTTGCTTTTTTTTTGTATTTTGTTCAAACTAAACCCATAAGACTAGAAACTCTTCTGTAAATCAAGATAAACAAGATGCTTAGGTCTTTTAAGCTTTAAAGAGGAACAAAAACAGAAAGATAGTAAACATCAGCGTCTGGAATACGCTGGGCTTGGTTCCAGCGGCTGCATTGTCATCATCCAGCACGCCATAGCACTGATCATTTTTGGTGGCCCCAGGGTCCCGATTGTCCGCGCAGAAAGGATTGTAGACACCATAAGACGTGAAGTCCAACATTTTTTTGGTTTCGGCTGGGTAGTTGCAGGCAGAATCGATCAGGTCCTTTAAACACTTCTTTGTTTCAGCATATCCTCTGATAAATAAATTGTTCAGGAAGATTACTTGAAAAAGTGAAAGCTCTCTAAAGAGTAAAGTGGTGGCATACTGTTAGGCGCGCTGGCTTCTTTAAAGAGCGGAAAATGTCCAGCCCTCGGTTGGTCATTGTAAGTTGTCATTGGAATATACTGAATTCTCACCCTTATCCCACCCACTCAGGAATAGGAAAGAATACAGGTGAACTGTCAGAGAAATCGAAGGAAATTCGACGGGAGAAGGGAGGAAAGAAATAAGTGTTTACCATGACGGACTCGAATCTTAATTGGATGAAAAGCAATAGAATCCAATGATGACAATCAAGGGATTGGAAGAGAGGAAGAACGGGACTATATTGAAGATAACGTTGTTATGCGACATTTAACTTGTGTAAAAAAGCTGTGTATTTACCCAATTTGAAAGGTATTCTGTCTTTTGCCTGGTTGGTGTGAAGTCGGGTTCAACATTAATCGCATATGTTTCAAGCAAGGATAGCAAACAAAAACTGGCACTGGGTTACATTAACCCCATCCCCCTTCACCCCCCTCTCCCCCCTCCTTCCCCTTTCCCCTTCACTTCATTTCACTTCACTTCCAATCAAAGATATAAAGGCAGATTTATTCAACTTACGAGCAAAGAGCAGGATCTGATTTGTCCTTGATATATTTTCGTTGAAAGGATCGAATGCAATTTTGTACACCATTGTTATATGATTCGGAGCAAATGGTACTGCCTGGTGGCATAGTGGGGGATTCCACATAAAAACCTCCACAAAGTTGAACTTTCTCCGCGCTGGCTTTAGCCATCACTTCGATTTGGCTTTCGCTCAATAGGTCTTTCATACAAAACTTCATCACGTCGACAATACAATTACGAAATTTGCTGGCCACCGCCCTGTAGGGATAAGACAAAAAATATCATGGCCAAGAGTTGAGCGGCGAGGGTATGATGTATTTTTTGCGGCGCGGAAAAGTGTCTTCAATTCCAAAGAAAAGGAAAGAAAGAAAGAAAGAAAGTAAGTAAGATAGAAAGAAAGAAA